TGTTTTCCAATCAGCTGTTTGTGTATAAAGTGCTGTCTCTTTGAGACATCTGTTATGTTCCCTGTATGTCCCTCTGTGATCTCCAGCTCGCTCTTGTTCATTATATATCTGGATGTTAAAGACTTCTTTTTATTCTGAGTCCTGCGTTCGAGTCCTTCCCTCTCTTCCACACCTCGACCTGACAGTTATGTCTTAGACTGGATGTCAAATAGAAGTGAAGCTGAAACATTTTGTGACTAAAATAATATGAGACCATTTTTAGATGTTTAGGCCTCTAAATATAAATATAACTTCCATAGTTCAATGTGTTTAAATATGTGCATTTGCAAACTTTTTGTTTAATATTAATATTTTATATCATCATGAAATGTCACCACAGGGGGCAGCATAGAGCCAGAGAGTGTTAGTGTAGCTGTTCAGCCCTATAGTAAGAAACAAGAAGACTGATGAAGGAAAACACACAGGTTTTGTATGAAGTCACACTAACTAACCAGCAGTAACCCACCTTTGATCAAACTGCTTTTATACAAATGATGTGAGGATGTAAAAGGAGCGTTTTGATTATTTATGAATGTATTGATTTAATATGACAATAATGGGGGTGGGGCCACCAGACCTGTCAACACTGGCTGAGTAACAAAAATATGAACACCAGACGAGAGTTAAACATTTTCATCATTTTCTTCCTGTGACTGAAAATCTCTTTGATTATCTCTGATATCGTCTGTACTGTCGTAGATGTGCATGTCCTCTTACACTCTGATGCCTCTTCCTTCACCTTTCTGCTCAGATAGCTGAGTCACAGCTGTGCTTTACTAACAGTTACTGCTCTGTGTTCACTGTGCTTGCACACTGATGCTGTCACAGTCCTGGGTCTATGACCCAGTTTTTGGGTTTTTCTTTTGGATAATTATTTTCTAGTTCCTGATTTGATTTTTTTTGTCTCCTCAGTCTGTCATGTCCTCATGTCTGTTTATCCACAGTTAAAGTGTCAAGTTCACATATTGCCATCTGAGTCTCAGTGTGTTTTTGTTACTTCCTGTTTTACTTTGATAATCTCCCATTTTGTGTGCGTTATATTGGTGTTCATGTCTCATCAGTCAGATTCTGTTCAGCTGTGTTCCCCAGGTGTGTCCACTCTGCACTAATCTCCTCCTGAGTAAATATTGTCTGTCTCCCTCTGGTCTCTGTCATGTTGTCCCATCAAGCTGTGTTCCTGTGAATTTCATGGGTTCTGTGTCCTCCCAGTTGTTTCCCAGTTTCTTAGTTTCTAGTTTAATGTGTTGCCTGAGGTTTTGTTAGTGGTGCCAAGATGAAGCTTCATGAAGCACTGAAGCTTTCCATCCAACTGGCCACTTATGAGCCGACGCTTCATGACGTGTCACTTGCTCTACTGTGCCATCAAGTGGACAATAAATGTAAAACAGGCAAAGACATTATAATGACATAACTTTGGTGTGAAGCTTTGAATAGAACGAATAGAATAGAATAGAATAAATAGAATAGAAAGAATAGAATTAGTGAATAATGTTTGTGATGGCAGTACATAAATTCCAAATATAATCTTAATCTGTCTTTATGATCTTTATGATACAACATGTAATTTATTTTTATATCATAATAACCTTTTATTTTTATTGAATAAAATCTTTTCCACTGTGTTGTGCATCAGTCAGTTTCTCTTTTTTTGAGATGATTTCACCTGATTTAGAAAAAACCCTTTCACAGCTCACAGATGAAGCAGGTGTAGCCGAAGAAGCAACAGCAAGTTTATACAAGTTGGGATGAACATTTTCAGTCCTGCCCAGTACTCGTGGGGATTCTTCAGTCTTCCACTGTTTGGTTCACTCAGGTATGTTTGGACCTGCACTGTTGTGTCTGTAATAAAATTTTGAGTCCTCGTCTGCAGGACTGTGGTGTCCAAACTAGGCCTGAAAACCAAAACCCCTGCACCACTTTTATATTTCATGATTCAAATTAAAACAAAACACAACATGCAGAGAAACAGAATCAACTTTCTGGGTTTGTCCAAAGTTTATTTAACAAATTATACAGCATGTATTAATGTTATATTTTTATTTATTCATACATGATTTGAGTTTATGAACTCTACTACTCCCATAGTTATTTCTTCAGTGTTGTTTTTGGACAGAGACCATTGAAATAGTACAGAAAGTGGGGAGAGAGGGGCTGAGCTGCAGCACAGAGCCTGGGCTGAACACAAACCTGAGCCTCTGCAGTACTTTTTACTGCTGCTAGTGTTTCTGTCCTGACAGATGTGATGATATCATCTGTGCTCTGTGATGTGCTGGTGCATGAAAATGTTTGCAGACTTTAGATTGGTCACTGAAAATATAAGACGTGCTGTGGTCGTTATTCTAAATGTGTTCAGAAATGTGGGAAACGATTGAAATACCCTGAAATATCTAAAGATTCAAAGTTCTAACATGGAAGTATTTGGGACAGCAGCTTCATCTAAAATGCAGCGTGGTCTTTCAGTCTGATCCCCCCATGTTTGTATGTCAATTTTTTCTGTTATTTGAGACGTCTGTTGATAAACTGATGGGGAGACTGTGCAAGTAAAGCCTTGTTTTGAGTACATTTTCCTCACCAGTTTCCACTTTAGGCGCTGAAAACACATATTAGACACCAGCTATTTATTTTGTGATTTATATAAATATATTTCATATAAACAGTCAACATGCAGTAAAAGAAATATCTAAATATGTATTTGTATGTATTATTTTCCATCCACGAGTCTGAAAATAATAATGCTGCTCTATGTTCACTGCATCTCAGCACCTGTTTGTATCACTTCTGCTGATGCTGCAGACCGCTGTGTCTATTTTATATTTGAATTGGCCTTTTATATTTTCTTCTACTGTTTCTATTTTGTCTTATTTCTGTTTAAGAAAGACATGGTACAGAGAGGGTGGAGCTGCCTGCAGCTGTCTGTGGTGCTGAAGCTTTCAAACATTTCATACCAACACTGACTACAACTGTGACCACAGGGGGGCAGCATAGAGCCAGAGAGTGTTAGTGTAGCTGTTCAGCCCTATAGTAAGAAACAAGAAGACTGATGAAGGAAAAGCTTCTTCCACTGGTGTAACACACAGGTTTGTATGAAGTCACACTAACTAACCAGCAGTAACCACATTGATCAAAGCGGGGCAGAACTTTAATAACAGGTTATAATGTGTCATCACAGTTGTTGTCAATCCAAACACACTTTTTGATTGTTGATGTTTATTGTAAAAGAACAACACACTTGTGGTCTGACCTAATGCTGTAGTACAACAACAACTATACAAATGTGAGCTCAGTGCAGACTATGCTGGCTCACTGCAGCCTCTTGTGGTACAAAGTGGTATTACATGAGAGTACAGGCTGACATCAGCTGGATGCTAACTTCAGTTCATATGTAGATGTGTTGAACATGACGTCAGAGATGTTTTCTTTATATTCTGTTGATGTTTTGAAATATTTCAAAGTGTCTCCAAGTTAAATGTTGAACTTTAATATAGCGACACTTAGAGCTCTGAAGCCGTTTTCTCTCTTTTACTATTCACCATAAGTTACTGAGTAAGTTAATTTATCTGTAATTAAGTCATCAACACTTAAAGCTTTATATGAAATATTTGTTTTTCAAATCAGAATACAACTTCCATATAAAATGCAAAACTAAATATATATGACTCACATAACACAATTAACATTTGATGTCTTTCTGTCACTTTCACATACACAGAGGTTTAAAAATGTCCTTCTGATGTTCCAGCTGATCAGAACCTTTAAAATTCTGATTAATCAAACATATTTTTTTCTGAATTTTTAGAAACAAGACATTTACTGTAGTTTTAGGACCAACAGACTGATGAATAAACCAAGTAAAGCAAAGTAAAGACAAGCTGCACTTTGACTTTTATTAGAACAATTTGCTGGAACTACAGAGTAATGAAGTACTTCAAGGTTTTGTGTGGATGACTTCCAACCTTACTGTACAGCACAGAGCACAGAGGGACAATATATGTAATCAATATATGATGCAGAATGAACAAGTAAAGACTGTAAGCTGAGTCTGAGGCTCATGCAGGACATTTCATAGTGAGGTGTCTTTGGTTGGATTATTCAAACATTTACATCAAAGCACCAAACTCATTTCTCACAGATGAAGGGCTTTGAATAAGAATAATATGACCGTGTCCATCTCCCATCATCGTCACAGCAGACTCCATAGTAACCATAACGGGGATTCTCATGTCCTGCTGCCCAGAACCTGTCAGAGAGATCAAATCTGATATGAAACTGGACTAAACTCATAACTATTGTCACATTCATATAAATATGCGTCTCTTTTGGAATATTTCCAATATTTGCTGTATTTCTTTCCCAGGTTTCTCGCCCACTTTCCCTCCTTTAGACTTTTCTCTGAGAATCATCATGCACACTAAAACAGCTTTCAAGCTTTGATGAATATGAAATCTTCCTGCTGTAAAAATGGAGAATAAAAAGAAGTCAGAGCTGACTTTCTGCTGTTTGAAACTGTTTTGTCAGCTGTTTACAGACATCACTTTGAAATGTGTGTCTATCAGGTCATATTTACTGAAGCTTCTTCCTTCATATGTTCTGAAGTTTTACAAACACCAAAGAAGAAGAGACAGGAATTCTCTGAAACACTTTTTGTTCTGTGAGAAAAGAAACATTACAGCACAAAAACATGAAGACAAATTGAACAAAGTGAAATGTGTCGGTCGCTGCTTTGAACATGTTTCAATCCTGATTCCTTCAAACTGACTTGTTGTAACTGAACGTCATCACAGACTGCAGATGAAGAGAGTTCAAGCACAGCTGTTCATTCAAAGGAGGATTTCTGCTTTTCTTTACATTCAGTTTGTGGGGCTGTTGGAAAATAGCTCAGCTCATGTATTGCTGATCTATCTTCCAAAACATCCATGTTTCACTTCTAAATAATAACTCTGGAATAGAAACAAACTAATGTCTCACGTTTCTGTCAGCGCTGATCCGTCCACCCATTCCCATTCATATCCTCCTGATGTCTGTTTGGCTTCCAGACCAATCCAGGACTCTCCTCTCAGGTTCAGTTCATTGACAAATTCCTGTTTGAGAAGAGACACAAATATTGTCTCCAGTCATAATTCAGCACTTCTGTTGTAGTGACATCATCTTGTGAATATGTCTGAAGGAAGAATAACTGTGATGAAACTTTTCTTCCATTGTGCAGAAATCAGAAAGAGCCAAAGAATCAATGAATATCAGCTCCTCCTGTAGCTCAGTCAGTGTTGCAGTGGAATCAGTGTTAACAAATCATTTGATTCAGTTGGATTGAATCAGAAAAATAATCTGGATTATGAGGATTTCTCTCATTTTATAACATTTCTGTTATTTCAATGTTTTGTGTTGACTTGGTTTCTAAGGATCATCTGAACTGGTTCCCATTTAATCCTGGTTCTTTAACTGCTTTGAATTCCTCTCCTTCATAATTCAATGTGAATCTCCAGTTTGCTGTATTGTAATCGATCCACCTCCCAAATCCTGCAATCATTTCCTGAATGGATTCTCTAATCTTCTCTCATCGGTTATTGTTCATAAAGTCATTTTAGTAGATGAGTCTAATTTACTTATTGATGATCCCTCTAACAACACTGCCACACAATTGATGAACACTGCAGCATCATTTCATGTAGTGCATCATGTTGTCGGCCCCACACATAACGCTGACCTTCCACATGTCTGACCTACTATCCAACCACAGATGTATCATCTTTGACAGGCTTACAGTCAGTGTTGTCTTCCCAGAGACAAACTGCTGTCACTCCCATGTCTTCTAATGACTGTGGACATTTTTAGATTTCTTCACTGGCAACATCAACAGTATCAGGTCAGAGTTCAAGTCTGTACCTCTTCAACCGCCCCAAGTCTCTCCTCCAGTTCTGTTGTTGGAGTTCAAACTCCTTCCTGCTGCCATCTCCCCCTGACTTCTCTCTATTAGAAACCAGTCCCTTTCATTTCAGCTGACTTTCAAACAGCCAGAGTCTTTGTGAGTGGGATCAACCCTCCTTACATCCCACTGTTTTAAATCAAGTTGCTCGTCAGCTCCTTCAGATCTTTGATCAATTCCAACCTGGTTCCAGACAAACCACAGCACTGAAACAGCTTTCATGAAAGTTACTAACCAGATTCTTCTGCGCTGGGATAAAGACTCCATTTGAGTCCTGCTTGACTTCTCTGCAGCCTTCATACTGTTGATGGTGCTCCTCTTATTAACACACTACAAACTGGCCTCACTGGTGCTGCTCTCACATGGTTTTCTTCATACTTATCAAACAGATACTTCATATTAATCAACGTGTGTCCTCATCTGAGTCCCACATGCCTCAGTCCTTGGACCAGTTCTGTTCTCTTTATAAATGCTGCCCCTGTGACATCTGCTTAATGGTTTTAATGGGATCTCCTAGCACTGCTGTGCAGATGACACACACACTAATGCTTTTCTGTCGAGCCTCTCCTGCCTCAGTGAATGCTTCTCTGTCATCACTTCATGGATTTAAACTTCCTTCATCTCAAACTGAAGTTGTGCTGTTTGGCTCAGTTTCTCTGAGGAGGTCAGTCAGTACATCGTCCCCCTCACCAGTAACATCCAATCACCTGTTAAAGATCATTTTGAACCAACAGCTGCATTTTGAGCCTCACATGTCAAAGGTCAGCCAGTCTTGTTTCCTTTAGCTCAGAAATATTGCAAAGATCAAATCTTTACTGTGATTCAATCATCTGGAACTTTGAGTTCATACTTTCTCCTGCCTGATTATTGTAATTCACTTTTCACCTGCATTTCTCAGTCCTCCATAGTTGGTCTGCAGTTAGTGCAGAACTCAGCAGCAAGGCTGCAAACAAAACCTGGCCTGCAGTCTCATATCTCACCTATTCTTGCTTCTCTTCACTGGCTTACAGTGAACTTCAGAATCCTCTTTTAAATCCTGTTATGAACATATAAAGCTGTGCATGAACAGGCCCCTGCTTATATAGCAGAGCTTCTTGGACCTTATCACTGCAGCCGGCCTCTCTGATCATCTAATCAGTGTCTCCCAACTGTCCCTCGCTCTGATTTGAACACCAGAGGCCATCGTGCTTTTGAGCTTGTTGCAGCCAAACTGTGGAACAGCCTTCCTCAGACTATCAGGTCAGCTGACTGTTAACGGCTGAAACTCATTTTTACAGGTTAGCTCTCCCTCAATCTTTTCCCCTTTATGTTCCTCCATAGTTTCTAACTGTTGTGTTTCTGATGGAATGAATGTGCTGCTTTGTTTATGTGTCTGTATGTTTGCACATGTATACTTATCATCAATGTGTGGCTTTAATTCACAGTATGAAGAACTTTGTAACTCACTGTCAGCTCCATCAAAGATCACACAGACATGAACAAACACACCCACCTGTTCCTCTTTGCTGTTTATCATCACCAGATCAGCTCCTTTATCCTGACAGGCTCTCCTGCTGTCAGACCAAGTTTTCTTCTCAGTGGATTTAAAGTAACAGCTGCATCCAAACCTCATCCATCCTTCAGGACACTTCTCTTAAAGTCAAACACATGTTTTAAAGTCAGACTTTGTGTCCTGTTGTATCACATTAATCTTTGGTTCCTGTCATTTTCCCTGTAAATGCTTCATTTAAACTCAGGTTTTCTCTCTTATTCATAATGAACTGAAACTTACATTTATACAGAGAAACTGTTACACAGCATCAAACATTTAGGATTCAAAACAAAGACACAATCAGGTTATCACTGTGTAACACTGATGTTTTCTATCAGTTATTCAAACTTTATTACCTTCTATCTTCTCCTTCAGCTTCTTCACTTCTTCCTGTAACTGACTGTTGAGTCGTTTTGTCTCTGTAGAAAAAAACATGTTAAAAAATGTAAATATAAATTTTATCTGACATTAGTATTTTCTTGTTAATTTTAAAAACTTTCTTACCTTGATGTTCAGTCTGTAGCTCGTTGTAACTGTGGTTCAGTTTATTGTGTTTGAAGTGAAGTTTGTTGTTTTCACTCTTGTTCAAAGCATCTGAAATATTTCAGTGAAATCAAAATAAAATAAAATAAAATGAGTGAAACGTTGAACAGAAATAATCTTCTTCCTCTGCTTTGTCAAATATCAATAAGAGTCAGAAACTTGCAGCCATTGCTCTTTAACATGTCCTGTGGGTGGAGGTGTTAGAACTACAGGAAATCTGATGAGCTAAATACGTATCAACTGTGAACAAAAACCACTGACAAGATTCAGAATAATTGTGCTTCAGTGTGGAGGAAGAAGGTGAAGAGTCAAACAGCATTTCTACACCTGTAGTCAGAGATGTTATCTATATGCTTTGAAAGAATAGATTCTGACTCATGTGACATGTGCCTGTTCTCACTGAAAATATGTCTTTTTACATTCAGTCAAAGCTGCTCTGAGGCTTCAACACTTCAACACTTCCTGCTGATGAGTCCAACCACGGTTGTGTCATCATCAAACTTGATGATTGGTTGGAGCTGTGTAGGGCGGTGCAATCGTGTGTCAGTAGCGTGAACAACAGTGGGCTGAGAACACAGCCCTGAGGAGCTCCTGTGCTCAGCCTGATGGTGCTAGAGATGTTGTTGCCAATTCGGACGGACTGAGGCCTCTCTGACAGGAAATCTAGTATCCAGTAGCAGAGAGAGCTGCTCAGTCCCAACTTGCTGAGTTTATCAAACATTTTTTGGGGAATAATGGTGCTGAATGCTGAGCTCAAGTCCATGAACACCATTCTGACATAGGTGTCTTTCTTGTCCCGGTGGGAGAAGGAGAGGTGAAGTGGAGTGGAAATAGTTTCCTCGGTCGACCTGTTCGGCCAGTATGCAAACTGCAGTGGATCCAGTGAGCAGGGGAGGTTGCTTTTCACATGTGCCATGACAAGTCTCTCGAAGCACTTCATGATGATGAGGGTCAGGGCGATAAAATTCAGGCAGGATGCTGAGGATTTCTTTGGCACCGGGATAATGGTGGTGGACTTAAAGCATGCTGGGACAATCATCTGGCTCAGAGATGAATTGAAAATGTCTGTGAAGACATCGACCAGCTCATCAGCGCAGTCTCTCAGCACGCAACCTGGGATGTTGTCTGGTCCAGCAACTTTCCGTGGGTTGACCTTGGTGAAAGTTCTCCTCAGGTCAGCTGCAGGCAGAGAGATGGTATGGTCGGTGGTGGTGGGCATGGCTTTCTTTGCCTGTGGTTTGTTCAGTGCATCAAACCATGCGTATAACTTGTTCAGCTCCTCAGGAAACCAGGTATCCGTGAGGATGAAAACACAAAAGTTCTTAACTTTGTGCTGGGTCGAATGCTGGAGCCAAAGTGTTACGTTCCCCTGAGGGGTCTAGGCGGGGAGGGGGAAGTAACAAAGTGACCGGGTCAGAAAAAGGAGTAAAGGAGGCAAAAGGGTTAAATTAAAGAGTTTTATTAAAGTTTCAATTTATACTAACTAAAAGAGACGGACAAGCCGCTATCACCATTTAAGAAAACAAACAAAACTCAGGCGTTGGTCAATAAAGTAAAACGTAAGTCAAAAAGAAAGAGAGCAGCTCACTAGCTGCAAACCACAATAACACAGCTCACTAGCTGTAACCACTCTACTGGCACTCTGGCCCAGGGCTCACCTTTCCCTGGGCTTAAATCTCCTTAATTACTGACATGAGTCAGCTGTGTAAAAGGGAAAGGTGGCACCTCAGGCAGAAGAGGTAGTGTGACACGCCCACACAGGCACCTTCAGGAGGAGAGAGGCCCTGCTAGGGCCGTAACAAAAGATAATCGATTTAACTGTCCAGGGAGTGAACGCTGGAGAGCGGGATGGATGGAAGTGCCCGGCGGAACAGGTTAGCCTTTAGCCTAGCGCTAGCACCGACACGCTTTCCTCGCTTTCGTTTACGTGCAAAGCGCCTCGCTGCCTCGGTGGGCGGTGGGGGAGTTAACAAACCCAGACTCCAAAGTTTCTCTGTCGGCAGATTAGTCATGGAAATTGTGCTCTTTTCACTGATTCTGATTAGAAATTGTTTATTGTAGGTGGTACGCATCGTGCCTCGGTCTTGAAAAAAAAACTAAACAAAACAAAAAGATCAGCCGCTGCCTGCTCATGACACCGCCGGTGTTTTTGAGGAGGCACAGCACTCTTCGACCCAGTGTAGCACATCTGAAAGAGCCCTTCTGGAGTGAAGGAGGATTCTGAGTCTGTGGTCCTGTTAGAAATCAGTGTGGATGTTTCTAACCACAAACACAGAATGACCTCTAGAACAAACAAGTCTGTGATTTTGACCATTTTACAAGTTAAAAATCATGCAACTGCTAAGTGTCTGTGAAGGTTCTCAGTCATCCAGGTCATCGTAGTCAAAGGAGCTTGCAAAGAAAAAGCGTCTGGACTTCTTTAAGTTACTTGAAGAGGTTTCACCTCTCATCCGAGAAGCTTCTTCAGTTCTAAGGTCTGAGGTTTGACTCCCATCACCCTCTGGAACACAAACTTGGAGTAATTAGGACCCTACACCACCGGGCCAAACAGGTTCCCTCTAAGCTTGAAGGAAAAAAGAACGAACACACGCATGTAAAGGAAGCACTCAAAACGTGCGGCTATCCTAAATGGGCGTTCTTAAAGTCAGCAAAGAGGCACAGAAAAGAAGAACAGACACCAGCGAGGGAGGATAAGAAGGACAGACGCAACAACATTGTCATCCCCTATGTAGCCGGTGTATCAGAGAAACTCAGGAGGGTTTTCTCCAAGCATGACATCCCGGTGCATTTCAGACCCAGCAACACGCTCAGACAAAAACTGGTTCACCCGAAAGACAAAACGCCAAAACACAGACTTAACAATGTGGTGTATGCTGTACAGTGCAGCGAGGAATGCCCAGACCTCTACATCGGAGAGACCAAACAGCCACTTCACAAGCGCATGGCACAACATAGAAGAGCCACCTCCACAGGACAAGACTCAGCAGTCCATCTGCATCTTAAGGATAAAGGACACTCTTTTGAGGATGCCAATGTTCACATTTTGGACAGAGAGGACAGATGGTTTGAAAGAGGAGTGAATGAAGCCATCTATGTCCACTGTGAGCGACCATCTTTGAACAGAGGCGGGGTTTACGACACCAACTCTCTGCCATCTATAATCCAGTTTTGAGATCCTTCCCAGACGCCTTAACGCCCACTCACATCCTGGGCCATCTGACCTCAGGAATTCGCATGATAAGGTGGGGCCAGGTTTCACAATGAGCTCACCTGAAACCCTGGCTGATTGGGACCCACACCCAGTTTCACACCTTGGCTCAGGCGATTAGAGGATCATCAGGGGGTCCTTTTGTCCCTCTGTGGGGGGAAACTCCCACTGGGTTTATATCTGGGACTCTCCACCATTTGACCTTAGAACTGAAGAAGCTTCTCGGATGAGAGGTGAAACATCTTCAAGCAACTTAAAGAAGTCCAGACGCTTTTCTTTGCAAGCTCCTTTGAATGCAACTGCTAAATTAACACATCTCAAATTTATTCTTTTCCTGAAATTGGTTTATTCTTCATGTACTAAATTTTGGGACATGTGTAATGAATAGGAAAAAAATTACAACCACTTAAATCAAGAACCACGGAAGGTTCCTCTGGGTTGTCCTTCACTTGGTGTTCGCCCTCTCTGAGTATCACTTCCTGTTCCTGTTATAACACATACTTGTGTTTTTGTGTAGCGTATCTGCATAGCCAATTTCATTAACAATTTATAGATGACAACTTATTTCAGATAAGTCGTCAGAGGGTGTGCTTCATCAACAGTACACTCTATGTGTTCACTCACTAATTATATTTACAGTATTCACTCACTGTATCTTTACTGTTTAGCGTAGCTTAGCTCGTAGCCAACTCGCTACCAGCATGGCCTCTTCACCCGTCCCTGCTGCACTTTCCTGCTCATTATGTCAGAATTTTAGTTACTCCTCAACCTCCTTTAGCAGTAATGATACCTGTAATAACTGTAGCCTATTTGCAGCTCTGGAGGCCAGGATCCTTGAATTGGAGATTCGGCTTCACACCCTTGAAAAATCTGTAGCTAGACATGGCCATGTAGTCGATGCAGCAGCAGGTAGCGTAGGCCCTACTAGCTGTCCCACGGCAGACTGCCCTGAGCAGCTGGGGAAACAAGATGGCTGGGTGACGGTGAGGAGGAAGTGTAGTCCTAAATAGAATACCCAGGTACACCACCAGCCTTTTCTGTGTCTAACGGTTTTTCCCCACTCAGCAAAACACCCAGCAGGGGTCAAACTCTGGTAATTGGTGATTCTGGAGGAAACCTGGTCTTGTTCCCAGTCCTCCACTTTGGATGGAGCAGCTCCCATTTCTAGAAATATAGACAAATTTAGTAAATGCCCCAGACCATGGCTATCCAGATTTGGGACCAGGAAGCAGAGTTGCAATGTTACACGCCTCTCTGCAGCTTCCCTCCTCCTGTTACCCCCCCGAAAAACCCATCTACATAGAGACTGTGTCAGCTCCCAAACAGACAAAAAACAAACTAAAAACCAGCAATAAACAATTTAAACAAAAAATCACAAAGAAAGAACAATACAGTATCCACATCTGAACCAAAGAGTAAAACAGTGAAATGTGGATTATTAAATATTAGGTCTCTCTCCTCCAAGTCTCTGTTAGTACATGACTTAATAATTGATCAACAAATCGATTTACTCTGCCTCACAGAAACCTGGTTGCAGCAGGATGATTATGTTAGTTTAAATGAATCAACACCCCCGAGTCATTCTAACTACCAGAAACCTCGAAGCAGAGGCCGAGGGGGCGGTGTGGCAGCAATTTTTCACACCAGCCTATTAATCAACCAAAGACCCAGACAGACTTTTAATTAATTTGAAAGCCTGATGCTTAGCCTCGTCCACCCTGAGTGTTTGTATATGTGTGCATGAGGGTGGGAATGCATGTTTGTGTCTGTGTGTGCCTGTTTGTCTGTGTCTATATGTCAGGTCGGGTCTTAGACTCCACCTCTCTGGGAACTCCCAGGCCCT